CGACTCCAGCACCTCGCCGTCCAGTGCTTCCAGGTTTCTAATGGTGGTTTAACATTGATCGATTCATGGTTTCAAAAATGTATTACAATTATTATTCTTAATATCATTCTTCCTCTGAATGAATTAAAATAAACCAAAATCTATAAGAAAAAGTTGTTATTACCATTAGTTTTTTGTAAAGGACATATGGTTGGTCAATCACAAACAATATAACATTGGTTTAAGTTGCTCATTATAGAACAGTGACTAAGTCGTAAAGATTTATCTCCTACCCCGCCTACTTCAGTTCATGATAACAAATATAGTGTCACTACCTTCCAAAATTGGAGTATAACTCGTAGTTAATGACACTGATCTGTATCTGGTAATGGATAAAAATATTCTTAATTCATATTAGTACAATGTGTGAAAGAAAACTGACAATATATAATAGACAAATAATTAGATTTAAAGAGAAACTATATTTAGAAGAACTAATGAAATTAAAAAGCATACCTATATTACAATGATCGATTCTGATTGATAACACTTAACATTTCCAACCACTGAATGACCCTAGTTAGGAGGTTTGTAACCTTTTATATACATAAATCAATATGGGATTCAGGGATTTCGTACAGTGATACATGACTACGTCTTTCCCGTTTGATTTTAATGCAAACCATCATCTCATTGTCTGGTTACGCATATAAATTGATATTTTTTTATATTGATCTAGTGTTGGGAACGTAAGATCTCCAGAAGTCGCTTGATAAATGTCTTAATTTTGGATATTATTCATAGGCTGATCAGTTGACCTTGAAATCACATTTCTCAGCAAGTAATCCTTGGTTGTGATTGGTTGATGTGTTGTTTTAGTACACTATTTTTGTGACTCGCCCAAGGACGTTTCGATTTGTGTGCTTGAGATCATCATATTTCCGGAGTGCTTTTAGAATACACTCCCTACGCCATATCAAAACTTTTCCTTCAGTTAGTGGGGGCAACGGATGAGAGTAGCCTAGTGTGTCACTAGGTCATTGTCTTATTCTCGTTTATCGACTAAGCTGAACTCGTGATCATTTCAAGCATATAAAGTGACGAACATAACATCTCGTCTCATACATAGTAGTTAAAAAGCGAAAGAATGAACTGGTTTTATTTTTCTGTATAAATAATGTACACATTTAATTTAACGTCGCGATACATTCGTCACGAAGTCTAAAAACTAATGAGTTCAACTTTGACATGTTTACAGTGTGTCTTTGCTTGTTATTATCATAGTATTCAATCGATCTTGGTTTATTGTCAATATATTACAGTTTAAAAAACATATATTTGAAATTTTTAATTATTTTTACATACAGCTGTTAGGTAATCAGTGTCTCATAACATTTACATTAGAAAAATTGATTAATCAGATCAGTAATTTTCTATTTAAACACTCAGATTAATGATAATTCCATGAACTAACTAATGATGGTGCTGTCTAGTTTCGAGAGCACGTACCGTTTGATTCTGTGGTGTGAGGTGATAAATGATTCAAAGAAGGGTTGGTCGATGAGATAAGAGAGTGATTAAGAGGTGTAGAAAGGATTTGATTGTGACCGATTCGGTTTCGTGTGCTTTTATGGGCATGAGGGCGGATGTTACTTCCCGGCTGCCCACACCGTGGAAGAGTTTTTCTTGAGGAACCTGGAAAGTAAAGTAGATTAGCTTTGGTCTTATCGACTTGAGAACGTGACCGCAAGGAACAACTGCTTAAGGCCAGTCACGCCTGGCCTTTTTATCAAAGGTTTTGTGAGTATTAACTCCTCTCTTAAAAGCTCTCAGTAGACACCCGTACGGACGGAGACGGAAATCCGTGAGGTAAGGTGAGGTGTGATACTTTTAGCCACGATATTTTCCAACCCTTTCCTTCCTTGTGAGAAGGCAGCATTCGTGCAGATACTGGTTTTCCGAAGAAAACAACTTATTGCTGTCATACCCCTCTACAGTCAGCAGTATGACTTCGCCCTCAGACCTTGAGTAGCTGCTTTTAGTCTCATCGTTTTTCAATCGACCTGCCTGGCACGGTAGAATCTTCAGGAACATATGTTCCAGCCGATATAGCTCAGTTGGATCATTACGATAGGCAAGCCCGACCACCGCGTCAAGCTACAATCGGGTCCATCTACTTCGGTGGATAAACATCACTAATGATAGCAATAATTATAATAATAGTGATAACTATAACTATTATTATTTAAGCTGGAGATAGTATTAATCTTGGTTTTCAGCTTATGTATGATGATTGTTAATCATTAATTATAGAATGATCAAGAGTGCAAATTGATTATTTTTTAAAATAATCTGAATCACAAGTTAACATTAGTTGAAAAAATTGAATGAACTGGTCTTATTCAGAAGTAAATATTCACAACTTTATGTGAGTTGAAGGCTAGAACACACGGATTTTGCGACAATGATGTTACTAATGAAGGTTAACCAAGAAATATTATGATGTTTCAATGTAATCATCACGATAAAATCAATAATCATGTCAATTAGCGAAACACCTAAACAAAGTACCAGTGGCCAATCAAACTCAAGGTCATTAAGCTAATTACTTGTCAAGAAATTCTCATAGTTCACTTGTGTCTGATGTTTTGTTGTCTCAATACCGTTTAGAAAAACTGCAAAAAGTTTCAAATTTTGATCAGTGAGCTTTGCGGGACGTGAAAAATCATCTTACTTCAATAATGATTATGTTCACATCACTAACTGACTGATTTAAAAACAGACTTTTAAAATTTCTAGTTCTTAGCTGAAACTTTTATTGAATAAGGCTAAGCAAATATAGATGATTAGTATCAAACTTGTCAAGTGACCTGTTGATATACTCGTCACTAGGTATGCTTGTAACTATTACGGGTTCACCATAGTCGGTAATCGAGAACGAGACAATGAACCAGCGTTCAGGTAGGCTACCCTTATCTGTTGACTGACGAAAAGTCTTGATATAGCGTGGAAAGTATGTTCTACAAACACCCAGCCAACACAATCATCTGAAGCACACAAATCTTGTTTATTTATACATCATAGGGACGTCCTTGAGAGAGTCATAAAGATAGCACACTAAAATAACACACCAACCAATCACAGCCAGGGATTTTCCTGGTGGGAAATGAGATCTCAAGGTCAACTGATCAGCCCATGCTCGGAAACATAAAATCCAAAGTAAGGCATTTATCAAGCGAGTTCTGGGGATCTAACGTCCCCAACACCTGTTGATTACGTGTTTATTTCCGTAAGAAATTGCTTTACGCTTACATTACTAATGACTTTCAAATGTAGATAGAATAATGGTCCGGAATTTTACTGTCGGAATGACACACAATTAAATGTCAGACCTTCTCTCATATAATGACATATTTGTTTCATGATTTGAAAATAATTAACCACTGTTACAATAGTTATTCTTGAAATGACTATGAGGGTGTTTATTCTATTATTACAAAAGAGAAGTAGTCTTTGATTAGTTCTAACTTTTCACTAAATACTTACTATGTATAATAATGTACCAATTTAAATGAATGACAGAAATTTTTTATGGATTATTAAAAAACTAATCCGAATTTTGTGCATCTTTTAAAAAAGTCAAATTTTTCTACTTTTTTTAGGCTTATTTAACAATTTACTTGTTACATTCATTGCGTTTGCCTAAAATTACAATGGCTTCAGTCCCTTTAACAGTATACCTGACAAGTATTGCTACTACAATTGTTCAGAAGCCAATACAAGATCGTATCAGTCGTGAAGTAAGTTCTTCTTCTTCTGTGTATTTATTTACGCATACATATACATATCCAACAGGGTTAGTTGAAATAATTCAGGAGACTGAGTACAAATAAGTATCGTTTCAATTTATCACAGTGTTCACATCGGAGTAACACTGTGACCATAATAAACTACATAGAATATACAACACAATAGTGATGCTTATAATTGTGATAAAGTGTCAACACAAATAAGATGGCTTCAATTAAATATCTGAATGTATTTATACACCTTAGTTTATTATAATTTATATCACTTTGACAATTTTGTAAAATATGACTATGTACTGAAAACCCTTTAATTCTCACTATAACTATCATTTTATTGGATTGTTAGTTGGATATAATACTATTTTATTTAATATTACAGACAGTTAAAAAAATTTTTCTAATTTGTAAGACAGAGTTCAGTGCCATTGAGCTGATGTTATCTAATTTTCAAGCTTGTTATGATCAAATTTTTTTACGTATTTTTAAATTCATCATTACTATATTTAGATATGTGATAAATTTCTTAAGTATTGAATTAAATGAAAAATCTTCTTTACTGTTATTTATTTGTGAGTGCTTTTGGTTTACCGGTTGTTGATGTTTATGACTGACTATTGACCAGTCTCTTTATTAATATGTGCGTCTAGAGCGTCCTGACTACAATATCGCCACTAAGTAAAAGGTATCTAAATAATGATGGATTTCGACCAGCAGTGGGATAAGGGACGCCAGTTTTTTCATATCGAGGACTAGTCCCTTGTGCACATTTCCATCTCGTCGCTGATTTTCACCACAGGATTCGAACATAATACGTTTATTTTCGAATGCCCAACTTGTTGTTTTTTGAAGGACTTTGTCTATCTTTGTTAGATAAGCTATTTTAAATCTAAATTCAGCAATCACTATTCATAGATCCTTGAACTCTTCGTTTTTATGTCAAAAAATATGTTATTTCAAAGTTTTATATTTCCTCTGCTACATCTTTTACTGATATGTTTATACTATTATTTAAATAATGCATACATAGTCATCTTTGGTTTGCAATAAATCAATGGGATTGTGATCTTCAAAATCAAATGTTTCAAACAATTTTTTCTTCAAAATGGCACACTAGTTTTTGTGACTGGAAATCCTATATTTTGTTCATCATTACATATGAACGAAAAGTAATCAACTGTTGAGGATATTAGATCCTTAGAAATCGTTTGGTAAGCTTCTCATTTTGGTAATTTATTTTCAGAAATTTGAATTTCTCAGTTTCACGCCAAAAGTGCCTCTTGCCAACTTTAGTTTGTGTTTCCTAATTGGAAGGACATTTAATCTCGTTGGTTAGTTTTTGGTTTCAGTGTATGATTTTGTAACTCTTCTAAAGACGCTTTTCGCACTATATATATTGCTCTCGAAATGAATGTTTATTCATTCAATCCAGTTGGCTTGTAGATTCTAAACTCTTCCTGCTAACTTTGAACTTCTCGCTCTAGTTGAATACAGAGAATAGCTTAAATGTCCTGTTACTGTGTCGCTGATTATCTTCCCGATGGTCACTATTCTAATTATTACAAGCAAAGCAGTTGTTTGAGAGATGCTTTTGGCGCGAAACTGAGAAATTCAAATTTCTGAAAATAAATTATCAAAATGAGAAGTTTACCAAGCAATTTCTGGGAATCTAGCATCTCCAAAAAGAGTTTTCGGCTATCTGTGGATATATTTAGTAGCGAAGACAAAACCTCTGGTGTTTATGCACTATGCTGAAAACAATACAATCAGATAATTGTTCAACAATTTAATAATTTCTGTTACAAATTATAATTATTGTGCGTTCAGTACAGTTGATGGATATCGGCTTCACTTTCAACGTGAATGTAACTATACTCACGATTGTTAGGTGATTGGTTGGAAGTAGTTCCAAGAAACTGGAAATCTAGATTTCTTATAAGCTTTCACTGGTCATCAGCAAATACCTACAGTTTTAAGGGAACTTATTCTCTTTGAAGAGTCGGGACTGTGATCACTCAGTGTCCAACTCTAAGCCATTAGCACTGAACCACTGAGACAGCTTCTGAACTCTCACAGGACTGAAATATTTGCTATGATTGGTTATTGAATGGTTTGTTTAGTCTGGTGTAGTCTATCAATCAGACTGTAATGTCACTAACGCTCATTACTTCTTACAAGAATATTATGAACCCACCTGATAAACAGTCACTAATGAGCAGTCATTACAATGTCCGATTCATTTGGTTTCAGAATCTTAGTAGCTTTATTTAGCCTTCTCCAGGAATATATTTTCTTCATAAACAATTTCCGATCGCCTACATTGTTCCTATTTTTTTTTAAAAAAAAAAAATTTTTTTTATCAACTAACAGACGAATTCTGCAATTGGATTGCTTTTTGTCACAATCTTTTGTATATTAGTCAGTTATCCTGGCAATCCTCCAGTTCTATATCGTATATACATTGCCGCTGGTTTACTTGGAATTGGTTGTACTATCCTACTGATTACATCTTTAGCAATGGTATCAGATTTAATAGCAAAAAATCAACGACATGGTGCATTTGTTTATGGTTATATGTCATTTACTGATAAATTAGCCAATGGTATTGTTATACAAATTATTGAATTATTATGGAATGAATGTTCATCATTGACATATTATCAAAATGTTGAATCATATGGTGTTGGAATGTTTGTTTTCTGTCAGTTAATTTTTCTATGTATTTATAAATGGCAAAAAAATGTGTATATTGCTGCGAATGTAAATTCAATTCATGAACATGTATAATAATCATATGCATTGTTATTGACTGTTGAACATGTTTTGTTTAAATTAATCAATGTGTATATTATTCAAATACTATTATGGTGAATTGTCAAATGATTTTATGTGCATTATTTTTTTTTGATTGTACAATTCTTCGTGACAACTAACTTATTCGATATGTAAGAAGAAGTATTTTTCTACAACTTGTCTTTCCTTCTTCCCTTTTTATTATACTTTCTTCTTTAAATGATACGAAGCGGTTAAATTGATTTTGTACGTACGTAACTTGCAATACAAAATTAGCATTTTACTTGTGTGTAAATTCAATGTTTTTGTCTGTTAATTAAATTATCAACCATCCAACCTCATTAATAAAAAAAGATGCAATTTAACTCACTTTGCTTATTAGCAATACTTTTATTTTGTTTCGAATACAACAATGATCTATTTTTTTTTCAAGTGGATTCATTTATTTATTTTTTCTTCAAAACAAATAAAAAATATGTTGTGGTAATGTGTCAATCTTTAAAATTACCTCCATGATGAATTTGAACATTGAATTTTCTCATTTGTGAACACTTTACATGATAAATGACATTTTAAATTGACCATTTCCATGATGATGATTATCAACATTAAGATTGTCTTTCAGACGTGTTTATTTCAAAATTTATATTGATTTAATTTAGGGAAAGATGTTCATTTTAGAGAGAGAGAAAAAACGGAATTTTATAACTCAAAACACTGGATTCTTACATAATTTGTTTTAATTATACAGTCATTGAATTATCAAGTGGTTACCAGTTATTTTTTTAAAAGAGATTATAATGTATACTACACACATAATGAGATGAACTAATTGAGAAGAAATATGTTCTCATCTAGTTTGTTTCTATATTTTTCTGATAAAAAAATCTTTTGGCAGTATAAATTTTAAATGAATCTATTTAAACTGATTTCTTTTATTTTGAGAGAGAGAGAGATGTTTTTACTTTTATGCTAATTTTGATTTATATTTCTAGTTTGTTTATCCTTGACACTGACTTTCTTTATTCCAGTGAGATATTTTTATTATGATAATCATCCTAAAGATTGGGAATGTATTTTGTTTTTTTAAGAAAAAATAGAAACATTTAATACAATCTACATTTTTCATTATGGGATTGTGGAGTTTTTTGGATTTTATTGTAATCGTGAATATCTAGTAGTATCGGTTTGGCCGAGGACGAGTGGATCGAGTAAAAATTCCGCAAAGGAATATTACTCAATGTTTATCCAAGTAATTGAATTCAGTAGTATGTATATTAGTAAAAGGGTTTCATAAAGTCGAATGAACACAAGTGAACTGAAATAATTGTAGTAATGGAATAACACCAGAGTTAGACGTTTTTGTAATCAAACAATGACACTAGAATCATTGTTATTTGTATCGGAATAGAACCAGCACCGGAAAAGTATTATAAAAACATATATCCTGGACTCAACTGGACCAATATAATCAACAATATATTGAAATGAATCCAAACTGTTCAGAGCGTCACTATGTTAATGTGTACCAAATATTTAGGCATCAATTTAATCATTACCACAGAACCAGGTAATAGAAGGATTTAGCCGCAAGATATTCGAAACGATAACACTACTGAATGCATGTGAAATAATAGAATTGAATTAATGAATGTGACAGTTACATTTTATGTCAAATATTGTGTTACAAAGAAATAAACACTCGTATATTTAACATGATAAGACCTCGGGTAATTAGTTGTATACCCTACCTCGCTTATAATATAGAGCTTACCGTTGTACCTCGTAATATGTTCATACTTGCGCATTATATCATCTATTTAAATCACTGTCTTCCTGTCGGGATCAAGTTATATGATCTGAGAACAACATAATTGCCTCGTATAAATTCTTGCCTATGAAGAGCATAACAATGTGGACTTTTATTTGAGAGGTTGTATATCGTTTAAATTTTAGTAGCATACTGATAGATGATGGTATTTTGGATAGATAACACTAAGGAAAAACAAAAAAAACGCACTAAGGAAGAATTTGATAGGGTATTTTGAGAGATTTATTCAGTCTTCGCTAAGCATATTGAGCGTTTGACAACGCTTTTGTCAGTAGTACCTTCCAAGTTGAGAACATTCGAAATCTGGTGACAACCGGAAACCAGGGATGGACAAAATCGAGGGTATCTTTGAATAGTGGTTGGGATGTTAAGGAGAGAGTGAATTATACTTGCTGGTTGATACATAGCACAGTGTACCTAATGCTGACTTGATGTGGCTGCGTGGCCTAGCTCCTTCAACAAGAGTGTGTTCAGTCAAACTAATGACGTCAGCGTCAATATGGAGGAATTAAAAAACCATTCATTTTAGTGATTTATTTACCGCTATAATTAGTTTTCGCTGCATAGTGAAATTATCAAATGGTTAACCAATTTCGAATCTAGTGATTCCTTTTTAATGCTTCATTCAATTCACTAAATAGTTCAGACATATTCTGACTTTAGGTAGTGTGTTTCTTAGTCAATCAGACATTTGCTTACACAGGTTGTAGTGAGTAAGGAGGTTTTTCACTGTCCGATGTTCATCCGTAAGTTCACTTAACAGATTGTTGTCAGTAATTAATCTTACTTAATCTTATAGATTTCGCTTGTTAAATAAAATCAACTAGGTTTTAGGAGAGTAAAGAGTGAATAAATCGAACAGCATATGATGTTAATCACTATTTCCAAAATAAATTATTATTAACTAAAATTTGTGGTAGTTAACTTAATCTCCACAGGACTTCGTTGGTTCTGTGAGTCACAGTTTTTCATTAGAATTTCAAGGAATTCATCTCATCATACAAAAAACTATAAGTTTCAGTAATTGAGCCCATTAGTAAATACTTATTGCTCGTGAGACGGGTAATATCATAACAATGGAATGTTTATAGTTTGGTCTGGTCTGGAAAAATATTTTATCTGTATAAAGGTTGTAGAAATATATTTAAAAGATGCTCGATTTTTGTGGCTCAAGATCTGGTTCTGATTTGGATGAGTGATAAAGCATATCATGAGTATAAATCTTACTTTAACTCCCTAGACTGCACTTAGCTAGCTCCGTCAGTGAAAGTTGTAGTAAGAAGCCATGTAGAGATAAGGATGGATAAATTTCTTTCGTACATTAGTTTTCTGAGATAGATATCAAAATGAGAAGCGGGAAAGCGAAAGTATGAGTGCCAACTGCATTTAATAAAATGTGACGCCTTATTTAAAGCCAGACAATAATAGGCTGATAATATATGGTGAATGCAGTTGGTTGGAGAAAACTGGTGGGCGGCAATTATGTACGCACATGTCTCTCTAAATAAAAGCGATCAAGGTTACAGGTCAATAATCTACAAACCCAAAATGTGACTGCAGAAGAGTAAACTGATGGTATTGACTCCACTTCTATGAACAGAACGCGATTGGCTTAATAAAAACATTCATTATTATAACCAATTGTACCAGTGATTGTTTTACTGTACTCTTTGTTTATTCCTACTATGTACGCGCAAACTTTTCGTTTGTGTTGTTGCCATTCCTGGTTATACTGCTCTCTGTAACTCCACCCTTTTTCACTGGCACAATTTTGGTATTGCTTCGATACCACGAAATCCCCAGTAAATATATTCCCTTGTTTGAACTAAATCTTTTTCTTTTTCCTTGATTCATGGAGAAATCACGCTTAGTGACTGGAAAGTAACTGGTCTATTGTGGTGTCTATAGACAACCGCAACTCGCCCTTCTACAAGGTAATTTGGGCTAGTCCTCAATATAATCTTAGTGATTAAAAGCATACCAAGCTCTACTAGTAAGTTTTAAATTTATTTGTGGTAAGGATGAGTGAATGAGATGTTCCGAAGGTCATTATCATCAACTGAGTAACTTATATTGATAATCCTTAGACTCAGTGTAGTTACCACAACATAGGTAAATAATGATTTTCGCTCTAGTTGTTGAAGAAAATTGAGAGGATCCAAGGTGTCACAGAACTGCAACGTGGTTTTCAAAACCCATGAGAGCGTTCGGAGGTTTAATGAACTAATTAAGTTTCCAACTGTCTCTCTGACGTCTAGAATTGTTGGCAGAATTAAGATTAGTTCAGGAATGATCAGAATTAGAATTGGAATCGCCAACTTAATTAATCGTCACCTGGTCTATACGTCTCCTATAAGATGATTGGTCATTCAGATCACAGTTTATTAACATCCGACTACCAATATCTGGATTACAGTTCCCATACCTTGTCAATAGCCATTTCCTTGAATACACTGTACATCCGATTGTGTTTTTTACTAAATGAGACCAGAATATGAGACATTCATCAAATTTAACTGAGCTTTCGTGATTTTGTGAATGATCATCCACGTGATATCAGGGTGAAAGGTCATCAGTCGATTTCTTATATCCTATAGATTACTTGGATTGACTGAAATGCTAGAAAATTTTCTTCAGATCATTGTACTGAGGGTGCCATGGTTCTCGTAACAACTGATGGCATGCAATATTTTTATGCTGGTTGTTTAAATCATTTTCTCTGTTGTGTATGGCTTCACGGCCAAATGCGTTCCTCCACCATCTCTGAGTAAAGTTCCCACTCGAACTATCCATGAATACAGTTTGAAATATGGATCAACGACAAGTAAATCATAAAGCTGCAGTGAAAATAAACCACAATAAAAGGAACGAGTACGTTGAGCCAAGGATTCAAAGTAGGTTTATTGTACGATAGCCGAAGTAAACGAACAGGAGAGTGTTCTGGTCTTTGATCTATAGAATTCAAAAGCTTAAGACCTGGCGAAAGACAAAGAATAGATGCACCCGCCCCAGTGCAAACGATTTTTAGCCATTTCATTTAAAGCCTTTAACCGCTGATTACTATTATTACACTCATCCCAACCATGTGACCTACACTTAATATCATAGTCTAGTCCAATTATCAATAACTTCATGAACTGTTGCTAAGTTTTGATTTTTTTCTCTACTAGTTTTCTTACAACCTACTCCCACAACAGGCAACATCGCTCGACTAGGTGGGCGGTGGTCGGGCACACATAAAATTAATCGCAGTAACCTCAGCTGAAGAAAAATATGCTTCGGAAACACCTTTGATCGACTACTAGTGGCCTATAAATATTCTCTGCTCTTACTGGTCATGTTTCAGATCCTTATAGTAGGACACAGACAACTGCTGCGCAGTTAGCAAATGGATATCTCACCTACATCATGAGTAACGCAAGTTAACAAACCCACTGGAGCCTTACGTATCCGTGCTGCGATTTCGTCAGGAACTAGGCCGTCAGGAGTGTTGAAACTCCCAAGATAAGTGAAGCGGTAAACACGTTCAACTCTTTCACTCCTTATAACTAGTTCAGGTGCCGATTCAAGCCAATCCTGAAGCAATATTTTGCATTTGAAGGGGAAGAAATGCATTGAAAACATGCTTGCATTGTTGTATGAGGTGGTCAGAAGACCGCGGTATTTCAAGTATCTTCACTGAGTTTTTTAAGTTAACTAGTAGATCTCCCATTAAAAGGACAACCCCTGAGAAGTCAAATGATAAGAGTTTATCTCTACATTCATGTACATGACAAAGTTATGTAGAAAAAGTGGATAATCCTAATGACACAACTTGAACAGATCTATTCCCCATAAGCTCTGATTAGACCAGTGGTGCTTGATTAGTGAGGCTGTACAAGGTTATTGCGCTTCTATGATGTAGAGATTATGCTATATTCCATCAAATACAGAAGTGCGAATTTTTGATTTATGCATCCACATTCTTGTCTGAAACGAACCTGGTTTTCTCGGATCTGCCCCTCACGAGCTCTAGTTAGTTGTTGAAGTATTATGGAAGCTAGTATTTTTGACGATGTATCAGTTAATATGATTCCTCAGTGATTTTCACAAGAGGACGAGTATCCTTTTTTATAGAGTGGAACGATCGACGACAGAGGCCAGTCAGGACAGACTATGTCCAGTTCCATTGGTTCATCTAAGATGTCAGTCAGTCTGATTCGTAGGACCAGACCGACCTCCCTGATGATTTCCTGGAGGCGCTAGTTATTTGAAATAAGTATAACGCATTAGAAAATCTCCAGCTGAT